TACATTCATTTAGAGAAGATTAGATATACTGTTAGGGGATCTGTAAACAAATTCTTTGACATCTGGCAGCCATTTATATCCTACGTGGAGAAATTCTCCGCAGATAACTTTACGTAAAGGTCAAATATTGTTTCATGTACACAAACCTGTTCATTGTATCACTGATTTATGAATACAAGATGGTTTTATGTTGTTGTAGTAGATCCGGTATAGGATGGGTGGGATGGGAGGGGTTTTTTGGTTGTTTGTGTTTTGTTTTGTGTTTTTGTTAGTTTGTTCTTTTCTGTAGTCTGTTAAAAAAATCATAAAAAGACCTTGATCAAAAAAAAAATTTCACTGTATATTTTTAGTTTTCTAACGTCACCCTCCGTGGTCAGAGAGGCCCTCTTTAAGAAACTCAAAGGGCCCGCAGGCCACCAGTTGATAATCTGTTACAGCAGGTGTGGAAGGACCGGACACATTTATTAGTGAAGCGAGGAGCAGAAATGTGTCTGTAGAGGTCGCAGACCCCTGCTCTGTTGTTGTTGTTGTTGTTGTTGTTGTTGTTGTTGTTGACCTCATTAAGCTAACGAGCTTCTGGTTCTGCAGAAGGATCCGAGGTTCCTTCAAGGTTTGCTCCAGGTCCATCATATTTGACCCGCAGGATGTGACCGAGCCCATCATAAAGGTAAGTTCTGTCGGTGCAGAGAGGAGCTCTGCTGGTTCAACCTGTGGTTATAAATCCTGACGCAGCCTCCATGTTTCCTCAGGTTCCTCTGAGGGACTGTAAGAAGATCGAGTTCACAGAGACGGACACCGATCCTTTCAACCAGTGAGTTCTTCTCCACGAGCTGACGACGAAACAAACCGTCAAACTGCTTCCATCATCTGAAAACGTTTCACAAGAAAACCTGAGAACTGGTTTCACAATCAAATCACTGTGTGAAATAATAGTTTAAACATTATTAAAATATAAATTATAATATAAATAATATTGATCCAGTTTTGATTTTTAACTTTCTCAGCAGTTCATGAATCAAACCCTTCGGCTCATTTATGCCGTGCGTGCGATGACTTTTAATATTTCATCAACTTTTTCAGCTTTGTGGCCTTTTTTGCCACTTTTTCCTCGTTGAAAAAGAAAAAATCTGCTTCAACATCCCTGAAACCCTTAAAGACCTTTACTGTTGTTTTTGTCTTTTGTTTTTTCATTTTTTTTTCTCATTTATAAACTAAAGAGTTTATCAACCAGCTGTTCTTTATTCCTTCTTAAAAATGACATCACTCACTAAAATAACATGATTTCTTTCTTTTCCTTTTTGTATTAAAGCYCTGATAAAATCAAAGAAATAGCATTTCTTCAAGGAATACATTCTGCCCGTCACGTGTCGTGCCAGRAGTTTTAACGAAAATGATATTGTGATAAAAGACTGATTTTAAAGATTTGTAGAAAAAAAGCAGTTTGTGTGTTTGAACTCATCAGATTTTTTTTTTCAGACCAAATCCACCTGTTATATCTATTTCCTGTGAGCAGGTGAGTTTCATCCTTCAGGTGTAAAACTTCTCATTTGACTTCTCTTGTAAAAGAAATGMATAAATTCACTTTTTATTTCAGGTCATCTTCATCAAAGAGGGTAACGTCATCGCTCCTTATCGAAATGAAAGGGTGAGTGCTCCGGTGCCAAACAAGTGACTGATTAAAAAAAAAAAAAGAAATTCTTCACAAACTTGTTAGTGATTCATACAAACTAAAGAGACGACAACAACTGCTGTGACTTTTAGAAAAATGAATCCTTTTATTGTTACGTTTCACGGTCAACGTCCGATTTTTAAACCCAACCACCAGTTGTGAAGCACGGTGGTGGTAGTGTCATGGTTGGTGTTTTGTTAAAAGTGTATTTTTTTATTGAAAAAGGAAGCAGGAACATTATCCCAAACTCACCTCTGAGCTGATTTCTGATTGGATAAATTTAAAAACCAAGTAATTCACTTTGTTCCTTCATTTTTCAACGTCAGAATTTTAAAAAGTTGAAGCTAAAACTAAAATTAAATAAAATTTGTGGAAGCTAAGTGTGTAAAATAATTAATTGAAGCTAACTCTATACCTCTAAACATATTAAAAAAGTTGGTGAAAACTAATGCTAAATTACTAAGCGTTAAAAAAAATTAGTGCACTCTAATGCTAAACAGCTAAAAATATAAAAAATTGTAGAAGCTACTGCTAAACCACTAAACGTGTAAAAAAATTGTGAAAGCTAACTCTAAACAGCTGAACATGTTAAACAATTGTGGTATCTAAYGCTAAACACGTTCAAAAATTTGTGGGAACTAATGCTAAACCACTTAATATATAAAAAACGTTTAAAACATGGAATCTAATGCTAAACATATTTTAAAAAATTAGTGCAAGCTAATGCTAAACAGCTAAAAATATTTTAAAAAATTGTGGAAGCTAATGCTAAACCACTAAACATATTAAAAAAGTTAGTGGAAGCTAATGCTAAACTATTAAGCATAAAAAAGTTAGTGCAAGCTAACGCTAAACAGCTAAAAATAAAAAAAACTGTGGAAGCTAATGCTAATCCACTAAACGTGTAAAAAAATTGTGGAAGTTAACTCTAAACAGCTGAACATGTTAAACAATTGTGGTATCTAACGCTAAACCACCAAACACATTCAAAAATTTGTGGGAACTAATGCTAAACTASTAAATGTATAAAAGAAATTAGTGGAAGTTAACCTTAAACAGCTAAAAATATATTTAAAAAARTAGTGGAAGCTAATGCTAAACCACTAAATGTGTAAAATAATTAGTGTAAGCTAATGCTAAACAGCTAAACATTGACAGAATTTTGTTGAAGCTAAACATGTTTTAAAAATGGTGGATGCTAATGCTAACTCCTAACCACTAAGAAGACAAGTCAGTCTGCACAGGTAACAAACTCACCTCTGAGCTGATTTCTGATTGGATAAATTAAAAATCAAGCAATTCACTTTTTCTTCTTTTTCAGAGATTTTATTTATTTATTTAAATTTTTTTTTTATTCAGGGACCAAAGATGATGAGCTTTGAGTTGGATGTTTGGAATAAAACTGAAGATGTAGTTCAGACGTTACTGCAGGTAAACTCTGCTGAAACTGTATTTTCACAAAGTTTGTTAAAGAATCAGACAAGATGTTTATTTTAAATCTGTTAAATATTTGTAGCTGTACAGGGCGTCCTGTTTGGATAAACTGGGAGACCAGACGGCGATGGTAAGCTGTTATTATT